TATGTTTACTGTCTCTTTCCCCTGGGCTGTGAAATGTTTTCAGTGTTTCCCATTTTTGCATTCCTCATTTTTACTAATCATCTATTCATCCAATCCAGTGAATGTGCCATAGTCCTTACTGTTCTCATCCTCCTTATAAGCATTCAGTGCATCTTCTTCACTCGAGTCTTGGGCTTCTAGTTTTCCTACTGCTTCTCTTCTTTTAATCACCCCTTGCAGTTGGAATTCAGTTCTGGGAGTTTTGCTCCTCTTTTCTTACATACTCTAGCTCCAGGCTTCGTCTGCTCACTGGGTTTTCATAATTTGCCATGACACCCCAGGGATCTGCCTTGCACTGTAGCGTGGTGACCAGCACCTGCTGGTTATACCTGTATCTGAACGGCTCCTTACATGTACAGGGGCTGAATGCACAACCTTCCCTCCTAAGCCTTCCCTTGCTCTTATCTTCGGAGGCTATACAGTATTTGCATAGTGGTGAAGATTTGAGCTCTGACACTTGCTGATGTGTGATCCTGAATAAGTCACTTAATTGCCAAGACTCAATGTCTTTATTTTTTAAAAGGGGGATAAAGTAGGTTCTTATGAGATAGACCCTAATGCTGTGGTCAGCAAACTGCAGCTCACGAGCCACATGCAGCTCTTTGGCCTCTTGAGTGTGGCTCTTCCACAAAATACCATGGCCTGGGCAAGTCTGTTTTGAAGAAGTGGCGTTAGAAGAAGTTCAAGTTTAAAAACTCTCAGAAGAAATTTCAATTGTTGTACTGTTGACTAATGAGTTTGCTGACCACTGCCCTAACGCATTCTGAGTCCTTGGCTCAGAATAAGAATGCAGTAAATATTAGCAGCTACTAGTGGTGTAGTCCCTTTTATCGATAGTTACCTTATCCTCTCTAAGTCATCCTTAACGCCTATTTCCTTTAGCTCCTATATCCAAATGACTATGGCTGATTTCTAATTACTGTTTATTTGCTAGTTCTGGAAATTTCTGGGTTTCCTCTTATCTTGTTCTCACGACCACTACCTGCATACAGATCCTCATTTTTGCTGTCCAAGATAAAGCCACCGACTCCTGCCTTCTTTTGTTCTGGTAAGTCTAGTATGGTACCAGGTGGTCTCTCTGTCTAATATGATCTCTCCCCTAGCTGAAATCCCCTGGTGATTCCCATTATATACAAATCAATGATCAAGCTTCTTAATGTGGTCTGCCTGGCTCTCTCCTTAGTGGAATTTTAGCTTCTTTCCTCACCTTGACTCCAACTTCATACTGGAACACTGTTTTGCTGTGTTCCCTGTGCATGCCATGCTATTTAAACTGTATGTCACCTTTATGATCTACATTTTTTGGAATGATTTCTTCCCTGCTTTTGCCTTACTAACTCCTCCTTGTTCTGAGGACTCAGCTCAGGTGTCACTTCCTCCAGGAAGCCTTCCCTGACTCTCCCAGGATAGTTTATGTAGCCTTCCATAGAATGCTACAATTCGTGTGGTCATCATGCACTTACCATTGGGATCAGGATCTATTTGTGTGTCTTTCATTCCAACGAAAGTCCTGAAAGGCAGAAACTATGTCAGTCAACTTCATATTCTTTTGTGCTTCATTTGATGCTTGAGATGTAGAAGGTGCCCATGAAATATTTGTTAAGTGAATGACTGAATTAAAAAAAAAAAAGTGAGCAAACCTCCAGATGACCTTGATTTCCTGTTTGTGAACACCTGGGGCAGGACTGAGTACCAACAGTTCAACTGAAGTAGACATCCTAATGTCCTTTCTTCTGAGTCACTAGTCTTAGATGATAGCCCTCAAGTGAAACTGTCAACTCGGGATTATCAGAGCCTGAAAATTATTTCAGTAAAGAATAAAATAAAATATTTCACATGGTTGGCTTAATTCTTATAGGGTCGCCCCCCCTCCTCAGGACACTTTAATATTTTAATAACCTATGGTAATGTTAACACTTTCTATTTGCATGATCACTTCCTGATGGGAGATACTATAGGTGTAAAGTTTTCTGAGTAGGGTTACAACACAGTGGAACTTCTTTCCACTAAAATGGAGAGAATATGTATGCTCTGAGACAGAACTTCTTTAGAGATGTCACTAGACTGACATATTTTAGAGACTGTCTATATCCCAAATTTCTATCTTAAAAAGATGATGGCTGAACACTTAGCTTAAGACATTTTAGAACTGGGTTGCCACTAGCCACATGTAGCTACTTCAGTTTCAATTGAATTTAAATTAAATGAAATTAAAAATGCAGATCCTTAGTCACATTAGCCAACTATGTGTAATGGCTACCATATTGGGCATCTCAGATATGGAACATTTCTATCATTGTAGAATTTTCCATTGGAGAGTGCTTTTTCTGAAAGCGAGTCTTTTTAAAAAAATGTATTTTTATTTTTTCATCTTTTAAAATTTTTATTAAATATTGGGGTAACTTTGGTTATAATATTATATAATTTTAGGTGTACAGCATTATAATATGATATCTGTATACTCTATTGTGTGCTCACCACTTGAATTCTAGTTTCCTTCAGTTTATATATATATTTTAATATATTTTATTGATTTTTTTTACAGAGAGGAAGAGAGAGGAATAGAGAGACACATCGATGAGAAAGAATCATCGATCAGCTGCCTCTTGCACACCCCCTACTGGGGATGTGCCTGCAACCAAGGTACATGCCCTTGACCGGAATCGAACTGGGGACCTTTCAGTCCACAGACCGACACTCTACCACTGAGCCAAACCGGTTTTGGCTCAGTTACCTTATATTTGACCCTTCACCCTCTTTGTCCTCTCCCTACCCCCTTCCCGTCTGATTACCATCATACTGATGTCTGTATCTATGAGTTTGTTTTTTGTTTGTTCTGTTTGTTCATTTGTTGCTTTTTGTTTTATATAACACATATGAGTGAAATATGGTTATTATCCTTTTTCGGCTGTCTTGTTTCACTTTACATAATACTCTTAAGGTCCTTCCCTATGGTTGCAAATGACAATATTTCATCTTATTTTTATGATTGAGTATTCCATTGTATATATATGACTAATATTTTTTAAATGATTTATTGTTTAAAGTATTACATATGTCTCCTTTTCCCCCATTGACCTCTCCACAGCCACCCCAGTCTCCAGCACATGCCTTCACACTCCTAGTGTCTGTGTCCATTGGTTATGCTTATATGCAGGCATATAAGCTTTTTGGTTGATCTCTTAGCCTCTCCCCCTCCCCTGCCTTCCCTCTGAAGTCTGAAGGTCTGTTCAATGATTCTCTCTCTCTGGATCTATTTTTGTTCATCAGTTTATGTTGTTCATTATATTACATAAATGAGATCATGTGATATTAATCTTTCTCTGACTGGCTTATTTCACTTAGCATGATGCTCTCCAGGTCCATCCATGCTGTTGCGAATGGTAAGAGCTCTCTCTTTTTTACCGCAGCATAGTATTCCATTGTGTAGATGTACCATAGTTTTTTAATCCACTCATCTGCTGATGAGCACTTAGGCTGTTTCCAAATCTTAGCTATTGTAAATTGTGCTGCTCTGAACATAGGGGTGCATATGTTCTTTCTGACAGGTAGTTCTGATTTCTTGGGATTAATGGGAGTTCCATTTTTAATTTTTTGAGGAAACACCATACTGTTTTCCATATTGGCTGCAGCAGTCTGCATTTCCACTAGCAGTGCAAAAGGGTTCCTTTTCTCCACATCCTCGTCAGCACTTGTCCTTTGTCAATTTGTTGATGATAGCCATTCTGACAGGTGTGCGATGGTATCTCATTGTCGTTTTAATTTGCATCTTGTGGATGATTAGTGACTTTGAGCATGTTTTCATATGTCTCTTGGTCTTCTGTATGTCTACTTTCAAAAAGTGTCTATTTAAGTCCTTTGCTCATTCTTTGATTAGATTGCTTATCTTCCTTTTGTTTAAGATGTATGAGTTTCCTATAAATTTTGGAGATTAGGCCCTTATCAGATATAACGGTGGCAAATATGTTCTCCAATACAGTGGGCTTTCTTGTTGTTTTGTTAATAGGTTTTTCTGTGCAAAAGCTTTTTATTTTGATGTAGTCCCATCTGTTTATTTTCTCCTTAGTTGCCATTGCCTTAGGAGCTATACTGATAAAGATACTGTTATTTTGCTGCCTATGGATTCTTCTACGATTTTTATAGTTTTTCATCTTACATTTAAGTCCTTATTCCCATTTTGAGTTTATTTTTGTGTATGGTGTAAATTGGTGGTCTAGTTTCATATTTTTGTATGTATCTGCCCAATTTCCCCAGCACCATTTATTGAAGAGACTGTCTTGACTCCATTGTATGCTCTTGCCTCTTTTGTCAAATATTAATTGAGCATAATAGTTTGGGTCAATCTCTGTGTTCTCTGTTGTTCCATTGGTCTATATGCTTGTTTTTGTGCCAGTACAAGGTAGTTTTGAGAACAGTGACTTTGTAATATAGCTTTATGTCTGGTATTGTGATTCCTCTAACTTTGTTCTTTCTCAAGATTGCTGGAGCTATTTGGGGTAATTTTTTATTCCATATGAATTTTTGGAGAGTTTATTCTAGGTCTGTGAAATATGCCATTGGTATTTTAATGGTGATTGCATTAAATCTATAGATTGCTTTGGGTAGTATGGACATTTTGATGATGTTGATTCTACCAATCATGAATATGGTATATTCTTTAATTTGTTTATGTCTTCCTCTATCTCGTTTTTCTATGTCTTGTGATTTTCCAAGTACAGGTCTTTTACTTCCTTAGTTAAGTTTATTCCTAAGTATCTTATTATTAATTGTGTGTGTGTGTGTGTGTGTGTGTGTGTGCGCGCGCGCGCAGTGGTAAATGGGATTTTTTCTCCTTTTCTTTCTGTGAGTTCATTATTGGCATATAAAAAAGCCATATATTGGTTGACCAGTTTGTTGAAATAGAGTTGTTCATAGTATATTTTTACAATCTTTTGTACTTCTGTGGGGTCTGTTGTTATAAGACCTCTTTCATTTCTGATTTTATTTGGGACCTCTGTCTTTGCTTCTTGGTGATCCTGGCTAGAGGTTCATCAATCTTGTTTGTCCTTTCAAAGAACGAACTCTTGGTTTTATTATTATTATTATTATTATTATTATTATTATTATGTGTGTGTGTGTGTGTGTGTGTGTGTGTGTTTGTCTCTATATCATTTATTTCTGCTCTGATCTTTATTATTTCATTCTTTTTGCTTACTCTGGGCTTTTCTTATTGTTCTCTTTCTAATTAAGTAGAATTAGATAATTAATTATGAGTTTTTCTTGTTTTTTGAGATAGGTCTGTAATGCTATGAATTTCCCTCTCAGGACTGCTTTCACTGTGTCCCATAGATTTTGGATTTTTGTGTTTTCATTGTAATTTGTTTCCAGCATGTTTTTTATTCTTTGATCTCTCTGGTAACATAATCATTCGTTAATAACATGCTATTTAGCCTTCAAGTGTTGGAATTTTTTTTATTGTTGTTTATTTCTAATATTAAGCCATTGTGATCCGAGAAGATGCTTGATATGATTTAAGTCTTCTTGAATTTGAAGATACTTTTCCTTTCTTCCAATATGTGGTCTATCTTGGAAAATGTCCCATGTGCACTTGAGAAGAATGTATATTATGTGGCTTTAGGGTGAAATGTTCTAAAGATGTCAATTAAGTCTGGTCTAGTAAGTCATTTAGGATTGCTGATTTTTTTTGTAGAGGATTTATTCAGTGATGTAAATGGGGTATTAAAATTCCCAATTATGATTGTATTGCTGTCGACCTCTTCTTAGATATGTTCCAGAAGTTTTTTTTTTTTTTTTTTTTTTTTAATGTATTTAGGCATTCCTGCATTGGATGCATAAATATTTATCAGAGTTATATCCTGTTATTGTATCGGTCCCTTTAGTATTATGAAGTGGCTTTCCTTATCTCTTATTATGGCCTTCACTTTGAGGTCTATTTTGTCAGATGTAAGTATTGCTATCCTAGCTTTTTTTTCATTTCCATTTGATTGAAAATATTTTTCCATCTCTTCACTTTCAATGAGTCCTTCATTCTGAGGTGGGTCTCTTGTAGACAGCATATATATGAGTCATATTTTCTTATCCATTCACCCACTCTATGTCTTTTGATTGGAGCATTTAGTCCATTTACATTTAAAGTTATTGGTAGGTACCTGTTCGTAGCATTCTTATTATTTATGCCTGTGTTCCTTCTTCCCTTTCTACTTCTTCTTTTTACAACAGTCCCTTTAGCATTTCTTGCATTGCTGGCTTGATAGTGATAAACTCCCTTAAGCTTTTTTTTTTTTTTTTTTTTTTTTTTTTTTATCAGCGAAGCTCCTGATTTTCCCTTTAATTTTGAATGATAGAGTATTGCTGGATAGAGTATTCTTTGGTTCAGTCCTTTGCTTTGCATCACTTTGTATACTTCATTCCATTCGCTTCTGGCCTGATTTGTTTTTGTTGAGAAATCCTTTGATAATTTAATGGGAGATCCTTTGTAGGTAATTCTCTGTCTCTCTCTTGCAGCCTTTAAGATTCTCTCTTTGTTGTTAACATTTGCCATTGTAATTACCACATGTCTTGATGTGGGTCTTTTTGGGTTCACCTTGTTTTGGGACTCTCTGTGCTTGTGTGACTTTTTTCTTCCCCAAAACAAGGAAGTTTTCTGTCATTATTATTTCAAGTAGGTTTTCTAATCCTTGCTCCTCTTCTTGTCCTTCTGGCAGCCCTATTGTATGTATGTTACTTCATTTCATGCTGTCTCAAAGCTCTCTTAGGTTCTCCTCCTGCTTTCTAATTTTTTTCTCCAATTGCTAATCAGATTGGGTGTGTTTTTCTGCTCTATCTCCTAACTCACTAATTTGATTCTCCACTTCCTTTAGTCTACTGTTGAAACCTTCCATTTTGTTTTTTTATTGTACCTATATCACTCTTTATTTCCTCTTGATTCTTGTATAAGTTGTTGATTTTTCTCACCCCTCCAGTTTATGAACTGTATGACCCTTACTCTGAATTCTTTTTTCTGACATATTGCATGCCTCTGTTTTATTTAGTTCATTTTCTGGCGAGTCTTCCTTTTCTTTCCATTGGGGTTGTTTCTTTGTCTCCCCATTTTTGCTCTCTCTTTCTGGTCCTGGGTACCCTGCTTGGGGTTGAAAGGGTGAAGACCCTATCAGGGCAATGGTCCAGAAATCGTTAGTCTAGAGTAGGGGTGTCGAACTCAATCAGAGAAGGGGCCAAAATCTAAAATCCAGCCTAAATCGCGGGCCAAATGGTTTACTGAACAGTCATAAACTGTCATTGTGATGGAAACGCAGCGGAGTGCAGTGATGACAGCGCGGTGCGGGCCACATTGCAAGGCCTGGCGGGACGGATTTGGCCCGCGGGCCTTGTGTTTGACACATGTGGTCTAGAGTCTGGGTCTGCCTTGAGTCTCACACCTTTATTGTCTCCATTCTGAGTTGTATCCCCTTCTCCCAGGGATCTGGTCCCTCAGTTGTCTTCTGCAGATGCTCAAGGTGGTGGGGAAGTCTGCACAGTTCCTCTGGCTTGCAACTCCCTGTGAGGACCCAGAGCCCTGTGGCATGCAGTTTGTTGTGCAGCCCTGGCACCCATGGCAGGGGCACCGTATGTCCCTCTGGCAGCTTACTTGCAAAAGTAATCCTATGGTCCTTGACTGGGCACATTGGCTTGCTCTGGGTCCCCTAGCAGTGCTGTCTCCTGTGGCCTGGAGTGAGGGGTGTGCTAGGTTGCTCTGGGTAGCCCCTGCAGGATTGTCCCAGGAGCCAGGGAGAAGCATGTGCAGCTTGCTCTGGGTCACCCAGTCTTTGATTTCTTGTAGCCCAGAGTGAGATGAATGCTGGGTTGCTCCAGTTTGTCCCACCTCACTGTGGAGCAGGAACAGCTTGCCCTGGGTCACTTAGTCCATGCTCTCTCTCCTGTTGCCTGGAGTGAGGTGCATGTTGGGTTGCTATGGATGGCCCTGGCAGGACTGTCCCTGGGGCCGGGGAGGAATGGGTGCAGATGGCTCTGGGTCGCACAGTCAGAGCTCTCCTGTGGTCCTGAGTGAGGCGTGGACTAGATTTCTCTGGGTCACCCCTCCTGGGCCGGGGTGCAGCAGGCATGGGTTGCTCTGGGTCACCCCTGCAGGGCCGTTCAGGGGGTCAGGATGGAGCAGGCACTGGTTGCTTTGGGTTGCTCTGGGTCTCACAGTCCATGCTCCCTTGTGGCTCAGAGTGGAGCGTGCTCTGTGTTGCTCCAGGTCGCCCAGAGAATGGGGTGATGCAGGTGCCAGGTGGCTCCAGATCAGTCTAGCAGCATGGTTCTGTGTCCGGGTAGGGGTGGAGCACAGTGTTTCTCTTGGCTTGCACTCACTGCAGGGTCTTGGTAGCCAGATCCCAGGATGTTGGGTCCCAGTGGGCTGGTGAGGAGGCGTGGTGTGGGAGCTCACTCTGGTGGTATGCACTTCCTGCAGACCTGTGGGAGCCTGCTGGGAGGTACTCATGGTGGTGGCCCCACTTGGGTTATGGCTGGCAAGTGGCATTCTCTTGGCACATCCTCTGCCCTTTTTTACTGAAAATTGTCTCCTTAGCTGTGTCTAATTTGTTAATTCAGGGTGAAAGTTTTCTGACTTAATTGCTTTCCTGGCCTGGCCTTAGGAGGAGCTACATGACACTATTTGGCCACCATTTTCTATTTCCAATGATTCATCTTCTTTATCCAATTATCATCATAGGACACATAGGTTATTTCCATATCTTGGTTATTATAAATAATGCAAGAGTCTTGGATAATATGAAAACCATCTTACTACAGAAGGAATTTTTACAGAACTATGAAATAAGAATTCTTACTGAAAACACATATAATTGCTCTATCATTTTATATATGGTTAATATTGCTTTATATCACCTTACTATTTGGGGACAACAACATTTGCACACCAAATAATGTTATATTGTTTGTCTGGCAATGTTTTCTTATACAACTCAAAAGGGGACAGGAAGAATGTGGGTTGAGTAAATTATTATTATTTTTTTCTTTGCCTCACATTATCAGAAAAACTCAGAGGCTAAAATGTATCCTGGAACTAAATATTTACATTTCTTAAAGAAAGTGTGTGTGTGCATTTGTTTATTTTTTGATGAAGGGGAAACAGGAATTTATATTGTCAAAAAATACTTTTTAATTTAAAAGGAAAAGAAAGGGAATATTTCCCACTGTCTTTTATTTTTAATTAAAAAAATATATTTATTTCAGAGAGGAAAAGAGAAAGGGAGAAAGAGATGGAAACATCAATAATGAGAGAGAATCACTGATTGGCTGCCTCCTGCATGCCCTCTCTTGGGGATCAAGCCTGCAACCTGGGCATGTATCCAGACCAGGAGTAGAACCATGACCTCCTGGTTCATAGGTCTATGCTCAACCACTGAGCCACACCAGCTGGTCCTTCCACTTTCTCTTATCTTTTCAGTTGCCTCATCTTCTTCGCTCCAGTGGCCTGAGGAATTTAAGAACTAATCATATGGGTTAGTTCAATTGGAACCATGCTTCGACGCTCTAGATATTTTTTAATATCACAGAACTCACTAGAATATTTATTGTGTAGCAGCATGTGTTATACTCAATAACTTAGATACCAGAACTATAGAGGGAAGGAACGGATTGAACAGCTATTCACAAAGAATAAGAATGACAGACCTCTGCAGTCCTTCTCACAGATACACAGTTGGTTTACCCACAGTTGCCATGCATGGGGAAGTAGGAGTCATTCCATGATTCAAGACTCCAGGAGACCACAGGAGATTCCCACCTGGATGGCTTCTGAAACCCAGTTCAGAGTTTTGCAGCAGGAGAGATTTTTATTTTTATTTTTATTTTTATTTTTATTTTTATTTTTATTTTTATGGAATGCTGTTTAGTTTCATATCAGCAGCATTTTCCCAGCCTGTTCAAAACAGTGTCTGGGGAAGTTCTTAGGTTTAACTTTTTTTGAATGGAGGGATATGAGCTTGAGGGTGAAGGGAATTGAATTCCTACTTTTACTGGTACCTTCCTGTGCCTTTTTCCTCTTAGGGTTCCTCTTTATTCAGGAATAAAATAGAGGACCTGTAAGTTGGGGTGTAGTGCGGAAAAGCTTGTAAGTGGGGCATGGGTGTGGTGGAGGAGATCATTGGGAGGGAATCGGGAATCAAGGACATTTTTAATATTTTCAACAATAAAGAAAAAAAATTGAAAAAGAGTTAAGAACAAAGAGTATGCATTTTATAATTGCAGTGTTTGTTATAGTGTAGGAAAAATGGATTCCTGATGAACACTAAAGTATATTTTGCCAATGAAACTTATAGTTTCCAGTGAAACATCAAAATTTCAGTAAGGTAATTATTTGTGGAATTTGTTCATAGTTTTTCAAAAATTTTAACTGTCTTCTTTAATCATAATGATACTAATTTTATACCCTTCCTGCCCTCTTTTGAGAAGTGGCAATAAAGCCTGGTGTTATGAATACAGACTTTGGACTAAAGAGACTGGGGATGGAAATCCATCACCATTGCTTGGACAAATCATTTAAATTTCTGAACCTTAATTTTATAATCTGTAAAATGGGAATGATAATGCTTACCCCAGAGACCATAGGAGGACATTTCCATGTGTGGGTTAAAAAACTAAGTCAATTGACTCATTTTCAGAAAGACTTTTAAAAATTAACAAACATGCTATATTCCTTGATCACTTTTATGATTATATTTGGGCATATATTTTAGTTTTATCACACATAGCCACTTAGTGTTATAAAACTATAAAGAGAAAGGGCTCTTGGTGAAATCTGTGAGACAGTTACAGAGTGTGCTACTGTTAGGGAATTAAACAAAGTTGAATATGATCAAAAGAATCTGTCTTAATAGCAAATTCCTTTTGGGGACAAATCACTGTATTTAAAAGACAACAAAGGAGTTGAGGGAAATGAGGAAACTATGACATTAAAAAAATTCATTAAAAAATCCTTGATTATTTGAACTTTTTGCTGTTTTGAGTAGTATCATTGTTCATTGACTTCAACCTAGCCTAAGAGAAGTAACTAATTCAACTAATCTTCTAGAAAGTTTTGAGGACAGACTACTCAGTTTTGGCTGATCCACATACATTATTTCAGGTCTGTAAAAGTCAGGTTTCATGTGACCCTGACACAGAGGAGGTGGAATAATTGAGTGTTCCTTTCTGGAACACTGTGCAGTGATCATCACAGGAGGAAAGGAAGTTCCCTTTTTTTTAGTGCTTGGGCCAGCATTACTAAATATGTGTGTTCTGTTGAAATCACATATGTTGATGACCCTTTTTGCATCTGATACTGTGTACAAGTAAAATCTCAGCCTTTGAGATGGATATAATTTAGAAGGGGATATGGATATGAGCAGAGGCAATGTCAGTATCAGATGATGACTGCCACTACAAGGGGCATAATAGAAAATAGTTTCTTAGGGCATAAGAATGACTTCTATTGTTCTGGTGTCATTATGGATCTCGGAAACACAGGAGAAAGAATTTAGCATGGGGGCCAAGGTGATATATTGATTTAAAA